AAAAAAAATAACCACCCCCCCCCCCCAGATTCTTAGAAAAAGAAGCAGATTATTTCTTTGGGCTAAGTGAGTTTTCTCCCTCTTCCTTTTCATTCTCTATAGTGCAGAGTGAACATGAACTTCAGTGCAACTGCCATATCCGTTGTATGCTTTGATCATGGACAAGGCATTGTCTGGCAATGGGACTTGATGTTGAAAGTCTGGGACCAGGCTTTCTACAGTAAGACGAGCTGTATTCTCCTCTGTGGAGTGAACAACAGAAGGAGTTTTGTGTAAAGCCACATAAGCATAAAAATGGCAGAGGCCTTTACTTTCAGCAACCTTAAGTGATCAGGCTGAAAAAAGCATTCATCGGCAAACAAACAATGCAGACTTCTAGATGTCAAAAAGAGATGGTCAGAACGATCAGTGCGCTCTGTATTTCATCAAACGCCAGCGCTATCTCTTTACCCTGTGAAGTCTGTTCTTTTTCTCAGGGTAGTGATGCTTATCTCGCTGCTTTCATTTAGAGAAAAATAAACCTTTTGGTTGTAACAAGTACTTTGCAACCAATGACTTAAAAATATAAAATGTAAATTAAGAGCATATAAAAAGTAATAACAAGGGAAACAGACAGATTGTTCAAGACAATAAGGCTATTTTCACACTGCTTTTTGATAGTGTTAGTTCACTTATGATATTGGAAAGAATGAAAGACTTTAAATAAACTTTGTAAACTTTATCTCTCTTTTTTTATTGGAATAAATGGAATTTACTAGAAAAGTTAATTGATTAAAAATTATGTATTTTTTTAGTTTACCTTGAAAAATATGGCAGCCTTTTGAGCATCTGATTAGGAAAAAAAAAAAAAAAAAACAGTGGCTGCATTTATAGCTGTCACTTTTCATCCTTACTTTATAATAAAATTCATGAACAGCTACTGAAACTTTGGCATATGAACATACTGAATTTTTCTTCAATTTTTTTCAGCCAGCCTCTACCATTGTGTTTTCTTTTTGTTAAATGTCTATTATAAGTAGACTAGTAGCTATACTTCACAGCCTATGGTTTTATATTGCCATACTGACTTTAAATACATTTCCAGGTAAATTATGGTAGCATTAGTTATTTCAGAATATATATTTTTTTTGTTCTTGTTGTTTGTTTGTTTGGTCTAATAGCTAGAAATTCAAGGCTTAACATCTATTAAATAAAATGTAATTCTTTTCATTCTTTGGTACTGAAGTAATTTTGCATGGAATGGACCACATTGATAAGCTTAAATTCTCCTGGTCTCCAAAAGAGATAGTCAAATGAATACTGTTAATCTGTCATGGTTCAAAACTCTGCAGTTACACTGGAAAGGAACTCCCTTGTTCCTATTTTTATTTACTGCTTTAGAGGTACTCCTGCGAAATAAGTCAGACTGTTTTGGAAATGTACAGATTAGACTTTTGAAAGTAGGCAGAGGAAGAAGCGGGCCAGAAATAAAAGCTAAACTTTGGCATAAGAAAAGAAGTTAAATGTCTTTAAGAAAATAATAAAAATAAATATACTTCAATTTCAAATAGAAAGAAGGAATATTCTTCCCAAATATACTCTATTGCCAGCAAAAGTTAGATATCTAGTGATTGCATTACTTAAAATGAGTCAAAAAAAAAAAAAAAGTTTAGCTTGTCTTT